TGTTGGGAGAGAGGTGAATGAGGTTTCTCTAGAAGAGGTCTGGTATGTTCCAAATATCAGGAAGAATCTGTTTTCTGTTCTATCAGCCCAGGATAGAAATCCAGATAGTGAGTTTACTTCGAAAACCGGAAAATGCGAACTAAAGGTCAATGGTCAAGTCCTACTCTATGGATTGAGAAGTCGTTATGGGAATTTGTACAAATTATGTGTGAGAAATGTCAAACCACTTAATGCCAATGAAGTAAATATTATCTCAACTGAAAATGTTCTGCAACTTTACCATGAGAGGCTAGGGCATCAAAACAAACGGCACATAAAGTCACTATTAGCCAGAGAATTTGGCATCAGTGTCAAATTAGATAGTGAGCTATGTGAGGGATGTATTTATGGAAAAGCACATAGATTGAAATTTGGTACAAGAAAACGCGCTAATCGACCTGGAGAACTATGGCATTCTGATGTGTGTGGACCATTCGACAGATCTCAATCTGGATTCAGATACTACGTCCTTTTCAAAGACGATTATAGTAGATATCGTTTTGTTTATTATATGAAGGAAAAATCTGAGGTACCGGATAAGTTGAAAGTTGCATTAGAAGAATCTAGATCTATGGGTCATATTGTTCAAGAGTTCCTGAGCGACAATGGAGGCGAATTTGACAGTCAACGTGTGAGGAGAATTCTTCAGGCATATGGAATACGTCAAAGACTGGTTATGCCACACACTCCGGAACAAAATGGTTGTTCTGAACGTGATAACCGAACAATAGTTGAGACAGCAAGAACCTTGTTTCATTCAGCCAATGAACCACTTCCTCAAAGCCTGTGGGCAGAGATGATTAATACGGCTGTGTACATCCTCAATAGATCAGGCAACTCAAGTATTCCTGATAAGAGTCCATATGAAGTTTGGATGGACAAGAAGCCAGGTCTGAAACACTTGAGAATAATTGGATCTACATGTTATGCTCACATCCCTAAAGTGTATAGAAAGAAAATGGATAAAAAAGCACGAAAAGGTATTCTGATTGGCTACGACAATGATGACGGATATCGCATCTGGAACAAACAAACCAGACAGCTGATAAGATCACGTGATGTCATTTTTGAAGAGCGATCTCGATTTTTAGAAGGAGTTCAAATACCACAAGTAACTTCAGAACAATCTGTAAGAGTTGAAGCACAAGGAGAACCTGATGAACCAAATTCAGAAGACATAGTTGTCAGCAATTCTGAAGATGAAGATGACATGCATCCAATGCAAGGTAAATTTGATACGGCTCAAAAAGAAGGTGCTACCGAAAGTGTTTCAGATTTTGATATAGAAGAGTGTCTATCTAATGAAGAGAAAGTGACAAGAACCTTGAGAAATCGAGATGAACTTAAGAAACCACACAAGTTAGAAGATTATGTTATGAGTGCAGTAACCAAAATTGAAAACCTCCATGAACCCGTGAGTTATCAAGAAGCAATGGATAGCGATGAAAAACAAGAGTGGTTAAAAGCGATGGAAAGTGAAATGCAATCACTCAAAGATAACAAAACCTGGACCCTGGAAGAATTGCCAAAAGGAAAGAAGGCAATTTCCTGTAAATGGGTATACAAGGTGAAGATAAGCAGAGATGGTTCCATAGATAAGTTCAAAGCAAGGTTGGTAGTGAGAGGTTTCTCACAGAAAGAAGGCGAAGATTATACTCAAACCTTCAGTCCTGTTGCTAAGGCCGGAACTATAAGAGCACTCTTGAGTATTGCTGGAAGTGAAAACTTATTGCTAACCCAATTCGACGTATCAACAGCTTTCCTTTACGGTGAACTAGACGAGGAGGTATTCATGAAACAACCTGAAGGATTCAAAGATAACACTGATCGAGTTTGTCGACTACAAAGAAGCCTTTATGGTCTCAAGCAAGCACCGAGGTGTTGGAATAAGAGAATTGCTAATTTCATACTCCAATTTGGATTCAAAACAAGTGAAGCAGATCCTTGTTTGTTCATCAATAAATCAGGTTCAAGTTTACTACTCATGGCACTTTATGTTGAAGACGGATTATTGGAGTCAAATGACGAGAAATTGATGAAAGAATTTCTTGAAAGCCTAGAAAGAGAATTCAAGGTAACAGTAAAGCCTGCTAACTATTTTTTGGGCTTAGAGATTGATAGAATGGAAGATGGAACAGTGTGTGTAAGTCAAGTTAGTTACACTAAGAAACTGTTGGAAAAATTTGGCATGGAAAACAGTAACCCTGTAACAACTCCTATAACAAAGGAAAATGTCCAGTTAGGGAAGGAAGATAAGGTAGAAATAACTGGAAGTTTTCCGTATAGAGAAGCAGTGGGAGGTTTGATATACCTGATGACTGGAACAAGGCCTGATATAGCATTTGCAGTTGGAGTGGCTTCAAGAAATCTCGAAAGTCCAACTAAAGAAGATATTGTCAGGGTGAAGAGAATTTTCCGTTACCTTAAAGGGACCATTCACTTCGGACTGAAATATTTGTATGGAACTGGAGGCTACTTGAAGGCTTTTAGCGATGCAGATCATGCTGGTGATTCATCTACTGGTCGTTCCACTACTGGAGTTATCTGTATGTATGCTTCCTGTGCTGTATCCTGGTTGAGTCAGCGTCAACCTTCTGTATCCATCTCTACAACTGAGGCGGAAATAGTTGCCGCAAGCGAAGCCGCTAAAGAAGTTGTATGGTTGAAACGACTCTATGAAGAAGTCATTGATTTGAAAGACATTCCCTGTGTGATGGTGGATAATGAAGCAGCAATAAAACTATCGAAAAATCCCGAATTCCATCGGAGAACAAAACATATCCGAACGAGACATTTCTTTATAAGGGAATTGGTATGCGACGAGATATTAGACATCAAAAAGATATCCACCATACTACAAGTTGCTGATGCTTTGACAAAGCCCGTTTTCAAGCCAAGGTTGGAAAAACTTAGAGAACATATGGGACTAGTCAAACTGGCAAATGAGGGAAGGTGTTGAAGATTACGAGCATTATTAGTTTGACTCTGTATATTCATGAAGTAGTTCATTTTATATTGATAGATGGTTGTTGTCAAAGTCAGTATAATAATAATAAAAAATAATTTGTCATAAAAACTATCCGTTGTGTCAGACTCTAATAGCTATTCAAATAGCTAGAAGCGTTATTTTGCTATAGGTTGAGCTGCATTCGAATAGGATTTTGTACATTTCGCATGAAAAAGGAGGGAGTTTGCAAAAGCCAAATCTATAAACATATGAGGAATTATATAATAGGTCATCAATTTTGTAATCGAGATTACCATTTTTGCACTTCTCTGCATCTTCGTAGGATAAATAAACGGAGTATTCCATATTATTAACAGCATCATGTAAGATCACCTTTTCATGGGGTTTGGGCATTTTTATTTTAATTTGTTTTGGCGCTTCCATTTGAATTCGAAAATGACAGTGACAAATTAACTTGACAACTGAACAATGTAATCGAAGAAAATCTTGGTTCTCCAAGTTCACTTCGATTCACCAGCAAGCGTTAGGTGGGGGAAATGAGCTAAATGCGAAAGAACGCATGTTAACTGAACCAGTTCAGTTCGATTGAGATATTTCGCGCAGACATGGCGAATTTAAGGTTGTGAGCATGCGCACTCATATTGAAACCAGGGCCGGTCTTGCCAATGAACGTTTATTTCTTGCCCATTGAAGTATGTTGAATTATAATGTATAATAGTTTGTGAATTTACATTTTTCGAAGACTGTTATCAAATGTTGACATTTGAACACAAAATACTTCGGCGTTATTTTGCCGAGCTTCGTAAAAATTATCATTCGAAAATATATTTTTTCTTTGATGGAATTAATATTTTTATCTGGAACAGAGAAAATAGACAACAGACTTTGAGGCTCAAAAAATTGAAATTTTGTTCAAAAGGTGAAGAAGGGTAGCAAGTACACATTCTCACCAAATGAAATTAAATTATACATATAAATATAGGTAGGTGAATAATGCTAATATATTTTTCACCTCGTTTTTCACTGAGTAATAATATTGAAAACATTGAATAAAACATTGAATAGGCAACTACATTTTTATTCAATAATTACCAACCGAAAACATTTTTTTAAGGCAAGATAGACGCAAATACATTTTAGGAAAGACAAAATGAAATACATTCTGTTATTCATTAAACATTTTTTGTTATTGGAATATGTGAAATCTTCATTGGAGAAATGTTCTTCACATATACAGTTGGCCTGGCTAAGTTTCTCAACTTTAGGATCTCTACCCAGTGCCTGCATCCATGAGGAATATCTCTTGAGTCAAGCTGAAAACACAATTAAAAAATATAATGTTCTTCTAAAACCTATCTATATTCATAATATATACAATGGTAAAGCTGGATTCAGTGCGTTTTACTACTCGCAGTGACGTACACGTCTATTTCCATCATTATCAGTATTCAACCGGCACGGTGGTTGTGTAGACAGAGTGACAGTGACATTCAGTGTTGCCAACCGTAGCGGAATTTCGCTACGCATTCATATTATAATATAATTGTAAAACAGATTTTTTAGTCCGGATGTTCGGAGCTGTCGTTGTCGTTTATATTTATATGTTCACGAAGTAAAAGTGCATGTTTTGCTGAACATCATTTTTTATTCATTGAAAAAATCAAATAACAGTCGGTATCCAAATAGAGCAGTTCAGCTCAAGGTCTAGTACAGCTAGAGCTAGCAACACTAGAAATGAGAAGAAATGGAGAAGAAGACCATTTTTCATGATTTTACGTTGAAACACTGAAGACAAGGACATATGGGAAAACATTTCTTCTCTTTCAACGCTAGTTGAACTGCTTTGTTAAAATCCAAAATAGACTCTTGGACTGGTGTCGGTGTTTATCGAAAATTTAAAGGACACGACCGTACTATTTTTGGGATGACGTGGTGACATTCATATATTCTGGTTGGCAACACTCATCCTGACAATGACACTGACAGTGACAGTATGTTATTATAAATTATAAATGGCGATGTTTTGTTATTGTATTTTCTGATAAACGAGAGATATTGCCATTTTCATTCGTAAAAGTTTGAGAACATTTACCGTACCCCTTTGGGGTTCAAAAGATCCTTCGTAGTGCAAAATGTCAGTGAGAGCTATTGGCACACATTTGTTCAAATATGGTAGAACCTTTGTTCGTCATATTTGCAAAAGAGATATCCAAACAACTGCCGACAAGATTAATGCTGCACAACAGTTGCCACCGAAACCCCATGGGGTCAGCATATCCAAAGGATTTGGTCTCAGGACTGTTGGAGTACAAATTGGATTGCAGGCGAGAAAACTTCTCATCAATAATGTACTCAATAGAGTTACTAATAGTCTAGCTTCTGATCTCAGAAAGAGAGCAGCAAGAAGGTATGAGTATTTTTACATTATTTTACTAGGAATTGATGAACTTGATCAATATCAGAGACCTAAAATGGGCATGAGTCTAAAGCAAATGGTTATTGGCTGTGGGAAGCAAGATAACTATAATAGGCCTATGAATAGGTCCATTGATGCTAGTTTCGCCTCATATACATACAAAATTTCAACTGACACTCCTCAGAACATATAGCTTGAATAAGAAGAATGATCAATTCAAATAGTTCAAATATTGTTCAAATTTAGGTTCAAATAAAAGATTTGCAATTAATCAACAGTGGCAGACCCATTGCAAACCCATTCACATAGAGGGAATTCAAATTTCAAACATTTGACAGGAGAAATTATAGTAGCTACTATGGCTGGGAATTTATTTCACTAAATCAATATTTTATCAAATATTCTATAAATAGAATATTAGATATGGTGGTAAAATATCCATATATTATTATCTAATATCTGAGCTAATATCCCTATAGTGAATATTTCAATATTTTTTCAAATATGGATATTTAGTATCTAATTTTCTATATTGCTCTCTACTGCTTGCTATAACTCTTGTAGTTACTGCATAATATTAATCTCATAAAATCTGCAGGAAAAGATAGAACAGAAGAATTTGGGTCAGCCCAATTCTACTAGAGAATATCAATAACAATCAGAAGATATAAAGGTGTTGTTGAAATGAGGTTGATGACTCATGAAGAAAAGTTGGAACATTTTCAGGATAGAGGATATCTACACATATATATCAAAACCTAATTATACCAATACCTAATTCCTTCTCAAGGTGGTTCCTTCTGAAGCAATACTTGCTTCCACTTTTTCTCAACAGTAAAAGCCATGGTGGAAACAAGAGCTTTTTTTAATCAGATAAATTTCTTTTGTGAAAGAAAAACATTTGCAGATCAGTAAATGGAAACCTTTTCAGTTAGTAAGGAAATTCATCCAATTGAAGTTTGAGTGTTTTTTCACAAAATAAATCAATGACAATATACAAATAAACAACAATAATGATTACCTTTATTGATGATTTCATGTTAGTGGTAGTTTGCTATATTTTTTGTGGTTTCTCCAGATGAAATTTTCCTAAAACAGCTTATCATGCTAATTTACATATGAACAATACTCAACAATTAAACTTGACATGACAGAAATTGGAGTGACATTAGGCACATACCTACTAGATGGAAGGAACAGGCAGTTTTACAGTGATAAAAAAGGTGCATCCTTTTTGTTGATGTTAAAATGACTCACATCATTGTCAAATAGCCAGTCAAATTGCGTTTTCAGTGTAGTTCATGTGGTTCTATGAAATATCTCCATTGAGCCAACCCCCAAAAATGGACTATTTTGATTTAAATGTGAATTTCCCCACCCCCCACTCCCATTTGCTGGGGGCAATCATGCAAGAGAGCTTTTTCCATATAATTTCTTCCATATTATTTCTTGTGATTAACCATTTTCATAACAGTAGCGCCGATTTTTTTTAAGGTGGTTGGGGGGTGAGGACCCCCCCAATATTTCCTAATAAAAAATCATTAAGGAATAGGAATAAAATATTGAGAAAAGTTGTCTTTCTATTCAGAATCAAATGGTAGTCTATTTTTTCAAATCCTGAATTGAAACCCCCTATAGCAGAAAAACTGTCCATTTTTAAGATTGTCACCTGATGATTTTCTGATCAGAATCATAATATGGACTACATCATATTGAAAATTCAGCAAAATCCACCGAATTTTATTTCATTTGCACTTAGATCGAGACTTAGATGCTATTAGATGGAATTCTTTTTTCTTTCGGTTTTCAAAATAGAGGTTGGTGGTAATAATTCCCCCCATTATATGTTTTTTATGAAGAATCTATTTTTTGAAGTAATTAAATGGAATAAAAAGTTTTGGAATATCGTTCATTTTCAATGGAAATATTTTATAGAACTACATCATACTAAAAATTGAGAAAAATCTACCGGGACCCAATTTACCTTAATAATTTGCGGGGTCCTTTCTCTTCCTAACAAAAACATTTGCCAATCAAACTGACATGAAAAAATTAAAGAATTGCCAGACCATAGGTTGAACAATTTTGTCTAATGTTAGTTTTTCAAGTTCTACAGACGAAATTTTCCTCTTGCTCAGATTGCTTCCTTATATAGACTAGAGTCTAGCGCCAGCACCTTCTGAGGAAGGAGCGCCGACAGCGGACACGTATGAAATCCTTCAATGAGTCTCAGAACAATGATGGAAGTAAGATATGGTGTAATTACTGATGCGCTTTTGTTTCAGAAATTTTACTCGACCTCTCGAGAACAGCGAGAGCAATGGTTCTGTCGATCTTCTAATAGATGGCGACATTGCACAATCATGACATCTGTTAGTTTTGAAATTGTCGCAGATTTTTCGAATTCAGAGTTGAATAATCCCACTGTTACATATGTTCCGCGCACCTAAATGCCATTTGCCATTTTATTTCCACTCGTCACAGCAGCAATAGCAGCATCACCATCTAGCGGGAAAATGTAGAATCAACGTTTCGCTCCTTGTGACGTAGAGAAATCATAGTAGGCGGTCGAGTGATCTGAAATTCTCAATACGTAAAAAATACGCGAATACGGGCACCATATCTTACTTCCATCATTCTCAGAACGATTGATTTTTGTACAGTGCCACTCGTAATTAAAGGTGACTAAAGTTCGTTCTTGGTATTACTCATATTATTATTTGCCTATAATGAATATGGGGAAAGATGTCAACCACAGATTCTAGAAATGAAAATGGTGAAAATGTTCATGTAAACATGGGTCCAGAAATGGCCCCCTCGGGAGTTATAGGTATCTGAAGGGGAGTTCCAGATGATGGATTTATGCGAGGATTTATGTGAATAGTTCTGAAACCGTCTGTGTTGAGATAACGACATTTTGTACATGTATATAACTTTTCATGCCCGATTTGGAAATATTAAGAATGTTCTGAAATCTTGATCAGGGATGTGGGAAATAGGTGGGGCTAGGGGCATGTATTCCCTTTTTTTCAATGCCATTTTCGGCAGCTTTTATGATCATATAAATTGTGTATAATGAGGTTATAAGTTGATAGTTGAAATTATAAAGGAACATTTTATTTCATTCTTTTTAGAGCGTTTAAATAAAAGTTTTTTATTAAATTATTTTTTACTTTCAATTTATTTTTTAATTTTTAGTTATCGCTGGCTAGGTTCCTCAGTCTGTTCATTTCATTCAATGCATCATTGTTGCAAGGTCACTTGTGTGAATGAACTAGTACCAATTTAATTATGTAAAATCTGCTGAGATAAAATTTTTAAAATTACAATTCAATTAAATATTGATTATCGGGACAAGCTTTTATGATCATATAAATTGTGTATAATGAGGTTATGAGTTGATAGTTAAAATTATTAAGAAAAATTTTATTTTCTTCTTTTTAGAGCGTTTAAATAAAGCTTTTTATTAAACAGTTTTTTTTACTTTTAATTTATTTTTTAGTTTTTAGTTATCGCTAGCTGGATTTTTCGATTTCCTCTCAACGAGCCTTTTCATTTGAACATTTGATACCCATATTGTAGAAGTATAGTTAGAATGACGTCACATCATTTTTCGAGTTACTCTCAACGAGCCTTTTCATTTGATACCCATAATGTAGAAGTAAATTAAAAATGACCATTCCGCCATCTTGGATGGTCCGCCCTATTCGATTTAGAATGACGTCACATCATTTTTCGAGTTACTCTCAAGGAGCCTTTTCATTTGATACCCATATTGTAAAAGTATATCAAAAATAGCAATTCCGCCATCTCGGATAGTCCGCCATATTGGATTTAGAATAACGTGACATACCTTATCGTGCATTGTCATCCAAACTGAACGTGTATACAAAATTTCAGCTCAATCGGTTGAAGATTTCTACTTCAAAATTGAGTTCAATGATTCCACCCGAACATACATACATACAATGCAAGTTAAATAAAAAAATTTTAAAGAAGGAGAATACGCAAAATCGTTTGTATTTATTACTCAGTTTATTTGAAGAGATATTGCAAAAAATCGACATTTCAAAACTAACGAGCTTTTTGAAAAGCAAATCACAGGGATACAAACTCGGATACAAACCAAGGAAGTCCAAGACATTAGAACGACCTGAAATAGAGAAGTTTTTGAACGAAGCCCCCGATGACGAGTACTTGTTAATGAAAGTGGCTTTGATAATGGGGATTGATTCAACACAAAGGGAAATATTTCCACGTAGTTTTGCCAGCTAAAACCAAGAAATCGAGGAGTTTCACCATACTTGAAGAAGGATTTCCAGTCAACCCGAACAATTTGTGTAAAAAATACATGTCTTTGTGACCAAAGAATACTAGTTCTAGCCGCTTTTTTGTTTTTTTACAAAAATGGGAGGTGTACCAGCCAGTGTGTGGGAATAAATACGTTGTCGACGATACCTTCAAGAATTGCAAAGTTTTTGAACTTGGAGGAACCAGCGCTCTACACCGGTCACTGCCTGAGAAGGTCTTCGGTGACTCTTTTGGCCAATGAAGGGGCTAACATGACTACTTTGAAACGTCACGGAGGATGGACGTCCTCGACGGTAGAAGGATACCTAGAAGAATCGGTGCATAACAAAATACAAATTGCAGAAAAAATACAAGGTTCCAATGTGTCGGCGTCTTCCAGCACTATCAGCAGCTGTACCGATATGGGAGCAACTGGTTCCAATGAACCAACGAATTTTACAATTACTTCAAATTCGGATAAACCTTTAGCGTTTTCCTTTAATTTCAATATCAATGTGAATCCTGCTTGTAATAGTAATAAATTAATAGAATACTAATTTAAATATGAACGTGAGTTATAATCCATGTTATTTGATAGTTTACTTGTCTAAAATGACATTATTAATGACAGTCATAACTGTCATGTGTTGGATAAAGTAATGTTATATTTTATCGATTAAGAATTGTTTGATTACTTACACAAATGATGTAATCAAGGTTTTGTTTAAAATGCCCTCCCGCTGCTTCAAACTTATTCTTGCTTGTCTAATTATTGAAAATTTTGCTCCTCAAAGAGTATCTGGGTATCTGGGTCATAATTTTTTCAAAGATTATACCGGATTATACACTATTTTTTGTATTACTTAGCTCATATCTGGTTCGTAGTTTATTTGAATACACTAAACTTTTCATGGGTTCCCAAAGATGATAGTGGTCAGGTGACTTCGGTGGCCAAAGAACTGGACCACCTCTGGCAATCTACTAGTGAGCTAAGTTGTCATTTAATTGCTCATAGCCCGTTAACTATTGAGTTCAAATTGAAATTATTCAAAGAATATATCCTTAAGCTATGGCGATCGAGTTACGGGACACCTTGTATAACAGTGAATCAAAAATAAGAATAATAATGGAAAAGTCTTATGTGTATTTTCCAGGTTATTAGTTATGATGGAATAAATAACAATTTAACGGAAAATGTTGGAATCATATACCATATTGGCATCGTAAGTTTGAAACAACCTGTGTATGTATCAATTACTCATCATTTCAGGATACTCTATGGAGACTCTGGACCATTTTTTGCTTTAGTTGGAGTGAGCTTAGCATCTGGCACTGGAATACTAACCCGAGAAGATGAACTTGAAGGTGTTTGCTGGGAAATTCGAGTCAGTAATAATAATTTATTCTTTCATGGGTGTACTTAGTGACATAATCTAATACATAACTTGAATCCAATGTTTAATATCGTGATATAATGAAAATAATAAAATCAAATACCCAATTAGAACACATCAGGCCGAAAAATATTCAGGGTAGTCCGCTTTTTTGGAACCAAATTCAAAGTCTGAGTAGATCTGGAAAAAATAATTGATGTGCTTCTACCTTTTTTTTGCTCAAACGCTTCATAACCGGGACCATCCGAGACACAGGGCGTTAAAGTTGCATTTTTTTCAAAGAATCTCTCGAATATTTCAATATTCTCGAGATATATCGTCCGATTCTTCTAGGTACCCTTAGATTTCAGAAGAGCAAATGTAGCATTATAGTTTTACAACAGAAGCATATAAAATTTATTCAGAAAAATTAACCCTTTCCGAATATAATGAAATATAAAAATGTTTCTAGTAACAAAATTCGTGATTAACTCATTGGTTTCCAAAGTTGGAATAATTTGAATTTGGCTTGACATGGATCTTTTAATCAATCTCATATGAGAGCATTTATTCAGTTTTCTGTTGATTAACAACTTATAATATGTAGGTCGGTCTGAGACATTGAGTTTTGCTCACACAAAATCTCCACCACTATTTTAATTTGTGGCCTGTATCACCAAATCGCTAGTTAGAAAGTACACAAATATGTCTTTCATTTTTGTCATTTAGTCGTAGTCTACTAAAGAGAAAAGTATTTCGAATTTCAGTTTTGCCCACTCATACTTTTCTAAATGAGATTTCAAGTGAATACAAATTTGACTGATAATAATAAACACAAAAAATAATAAAAACCAATTGATGATTTCATGGTGATTGAGATCAGGTGATGGGAAATATGCCGCATTCCATTCAAAATGAGAAAGTTGGGGTCGTTTCTTGCTTAACTAACTTAACTTCTATAAATTTCGAAATTATATCTCGACTACAACAATAAATAAAGCCACTATATATCCTTTTTCATCTCAAGACCAAAGTTTTAGAGATCCGTTCCACACATGGTTTTCTGTTGTAAATATAAAACATCTTGTGTCTTGTGTGTGATAAAAACCAACTCGAAACTTTCGTAGGAAGCCATTTCTAAGATAAAATGGCATTACCACGACATCGACATAGACGAAACTCGATTCGAAAATTCACCGATTACGCTGAATGACCTATCTCTTGGCAAACCCATCGCCAAAGGAGCAAATGCAGTGGTTTACGCCGCCAAAATCAAGAACCAAGACGGCTTACCCCGAACCCAGCCTGACAAAAACGCTGAGCGATCAGTTTCTGAGACTATTGTCAAAACCGAAGATAGCGATGACATCGAGAAATTTCCATTGGCCTTGAAGATGATGTTCAACTATGACATCCAGTCGAGTGCAATGGCTATATTGAATGCAATGTATAGAGAAACGGTTCCAGCTAGAGAGTATTACAGCAATGTCAGAATATCTGATTGGGAAATTGAGTGAGTACCTACCAAAGATCTAACAATATATCTACTGAATAATACTCATCTCCATGACAGTTTGATGCAAAAATCACATCAATAATTACATGTTTCAGACATAGATATGTCTATCATCAGCCAAATATGAAGAAAAAGGTGTCATATAATGAAATTGAACTATTGTTACAAAATCGCATGACTCAATAATAATACTCACAAGAGAAAGAAAGAACTAAGTACTTATAAGTTATACATTTTGAAAATAATTGGTATTATTTAATTATAAACTCAATAATAATACTCACATGAGAAAGAAAAACTACTTATAAGTTATACATTTCGAAAATAATTGGTATTGTTTAATTATGAACATGGGGGGATGATGTAAATGGCAATGGCATCTTGCTCTGCATTCTAGTTCATGTCAAACATTTGAAGAAAAGTTGGCATATCGCATATCATAAGGGAATGATTTAATACAGCTCAAAAGAGTTGGAAAATAGGTAAGATGTAAGAAGATTCAAAATCAATTTTAAAAAAATACTTAGCGGGGATAATTCGATCAAACTAATATGTGGCATGATTCGATTACTCAGAATTGAAATGTTAAATTTTATTATCAAGAAGAAGTGAGCGTTTATTTTCAAGTATTCAGTAGATCATTTAATAATTTGTTATTCATACTTGTTTATGAATTTCTATTACAAAAAGTAATATTTCTTGGGGTAATAAAGGCAATCAATCGATTTATTAATCAAGTCAACACCGCAGCACACAAAATATTGAAACAAAATAATAGTCCATCAATCAATCAATCAATCGAAAAAGGTACCTTGTACTGGATATAGCATTATTGAAAAACATATATGCCTAGTTCATTTATTCTGTAAGTACCTAGGTACCAATAATTATTTCGCAACATAATTGCAGTTTATCAAAGAGAAATCGTCATCTGCCTCCCCATCCAAACGTAGTTGCTATGTTTTCCGTTTTCACGGATTACGTTCCGGAACTACAAGATTGCAGAGGGCTCTATCCTGCCGCCTTGCCTCAAAGAATCCATCCCGATGGAGACGGAAGAAATATGTCACTGTTCTTGTTAATGAAAAGGTATGCAAATTTGTGGATCAATGATTTTTTATTGGACTAAATGAATATGATGTTCAATATGCTGTAATTGGTTAGTTGAATATATCTATCAAATCTAATGGTAGCAGGTAACCGCATAAAGCTCAAGAGGACTCATCACTTAAATTATTAGTATAATTTTCCTTGGATCTGACTGACGGAATATTAATTATCCAGTGACATGTTCGTTATTCCAACAAAAAAACAAATCACATAGAAACTACGAAATTGGTTAGTTTGCTTTTCATATTATTAGAGTCACTGGTATTGATTTATGTGGAACTGCAGTTTTCTGAAAATGAACTTGCATGGTACTAAAACGAGCAATTCATATCGGAAATCTTGTATAGACTCTGGCATTTTTACATTGGTCAATTTGTACATTTCAGATCTCAGTAATAATCAAAAAAATTGTAAAAACCTCACTAGGTCATCAGATAAACATCCAGAACTTGAGGTACCACTCCATGGCAAAATCATATAAAACAACCTTCCTGTGAATTCGAAATCATTTACTAGCATAGACAAAAGATTCAAACTCTCCTCAAGGTGCTTTTACTCCTACATGTATTTTACAATCAACACACTATATGCAATGAAGGAATACGCGTAATATATTTTTTCAGAAGAGATTCTCAAGTTGATTTGCAGAAATATGATTTTGGAAGGAAATTCTTATGTTTTGGAAAAGATGACCATCAGAAGAGTGAGCCAATAATATGTCTGTGAGACAAATATGAGGATTTTGAAAATAAATAAGTAGTTGTGTGAGAATGGGATCCATAGTAGTTGTACTACTCGCACTGTGCCTCTTTGTTTGTGTATACTGTATACAAAAGACGGTGGATATGCAAAATAATTCAATGGCCTATTTGTGTTATTAATTGAAAATAAAAGTACATATTAATGATTCACAATTATGATGGTAACCTAAACATTCTGGATTATTTTTGAAATGTGAAAAAATCACCATACACAGAGCATATTATATAAACGTTGGTGGAAATATTCAATGAACAACAGTGTAAATGACTCACCAAAGGATTGTGAATAGGTGAATCAAAATATCATAAATTTCAAATGCCTGGAAAATTTGATTGATTTACACCTTCTTCAAGAAATTAACGCACATCCAAAAGTAGCTAAAACTTTTTGATACATTTTCGTCAAAACTACTTGTCCTATTTGAACGTTTTTTGTTTTTAATGAAAGGTTATCTCCTTCTGAACATTGGTATGTAAACGGTATTTGCATGAAAACCTATTTTTTTATTCATACCGGGTGAGTAATGATAGCGTGTTTTTTCATGAAATTTGTGATACCCTGTAGAGTGTAATAGTTACACTATCAAGTTAAAATTGAAATTACACTTCAGACTCATTTTTCTCAAACATTTCTTTTTTGGATTCACTCAATTATCTTTCCTATTGCTCCAGAAACACCATTTTATAATGTGATATGATTTTATGGAAAATTACTATCCCATTTGAACAACGAAAAAAACTAAACAGAATTCAAAGTCACAAGTTGAACGAAAGGGTCAGTAGCGAGTCTGAATAGCGTCTTGGCAAAAACGGCCTATACTCAAAATAAGAGGCCTTATGTCATTTTGGTCCAGGTCTTCCCACATTTGGATCGGTATCTGGCGTGTGTCTTACAAAGTATTCAAATTATGTTCTTGTAATATTGTCTCAAGAATGTTCCAGAGATTCTCAATAGTTTTCAAATCCCGACTCCAAGCTGGCCATGCCATGTTAGTAATCTTGCATCAACAAACATCCTGACACTAAATGTGGTTTGAAAAATCTCCAATATATACCTTCCAGCTATAAGGCTTCCATTTATGATTACAAGTTCCATGCGACCAGGCAGAGAAATGCCTCCCCAGACCTTAGCCAACAACTTACGTGCTTATAATGATAATTCTATTCAATAAAATCATGTAATGCTGTAAAATTATGTTTCTGGAGTAATAGGAAAGATAATGGAGTAAATCCAACAAAGGAATGTTGAAAAAAGAGGAGGCTAAAGTGTAATTTCAATTCTATTTTGATAATGTAACTGTTACATTCTACAGAGAAGGGTATTTAAAATTTCATGAAAAGAGCGCTACACCCGATATTCATAAAAATGAGGTTATTATGCTATACAGTTTGAACGCCAATATTCGGAAGTAGAGTGCAGAAATTAGCAGTAATTATGTAAGCGAATCAATATCAGAAAATACCAAGAAGAGTAAAGAGTCTGGAAGTGCCTGGAACAATTTTTGTTTTTTGCCAGCAGAAAAACTATGAATTTTGTGCGACTGTACCCCAACTCTCCTTATTCAGATAATTAATGTTCAAATTGTCAAAATACAATGTACTCCCGATGGAATTATGGAAAAATAATAGTTGGCTATTTGTCATAGTCGCGGGAAATTACCTATGAATATATCTTGTTCGGTAACGTACTGCAAAAATTCTAAGAATGATCGTTAACATTTATTTGAGTTGCCCAAAGACGATACGAAATTTCAAATGTTCGTAGAAGCTTCGAATATTCATTTCATGGAAATACATTCATTGACCATAATATTCATATAACTACACAATGAGCAATATGTGCCTTTGGTGTTACGCCAATGTTGAGGTTTCAAATAATAATATGGCTGCACTCGGTCAATAAAGGGGTACAGAAAAATGCATTCCATATCTTATAAAACATATTGGTGTCTCATGTTTTATGTTAAGCTGTTAAACAAGACGACAAGTGTGCCCACACTTATTAAAGAGCGTAAAGTGAGATATTCGAGACACTCTATTCGTAAGGAGACAAGAAAGTCCGAATTGGACAAGTTATTTTGACAAAAATGTGTCTCAAACTTTTTGATACTTTTTGATGGTGCATTAATTCATTGGGGAAGTGTTATATCATCTTATTGCAAAACCTCAGGTACGACACGACCCTAGCAGACTTTCTCACCTCCCATCCCCCTTCCGCCCGTGTGTCTCTCCTTCTCTTCGCCCAGCTGCTGGAAGCCGTCGCCCATCTGACCGCCCACGGCATAGCCCACCGCGACCTCAAAACCGACAACATCCTCATCGACACCGCCGAGCCCGAGGCGCCCATCCTCGTCCTGGCCGACTTCGGCTGCTGCCTGGCCGACAAGGCCAACGGCCTGCGGCTGCCCTATACCAGCCACGAGGTGGACAAGGGCGGCAACGTGGCGCTCATGGCGCCCGAGATAGCGTGCCCGCGGCCAGGCGCGTTCTGCGTGCTGGACTATGGGAAGTCGGACCTGTGGGCGGCCGCGGCGATCACGTATGAGGTGTTTAGTGGGCGGAATCCGTTCTGCGTGGGTACTTTGAGGAGTGTAGACTACGAGGAGGAGCAGCTGCCGGAGATGGGGGCGGAGGTGCCGTACGTGTTGAGGAGGCTGGTCGGTAATCTGTTGCAGCGCAAACCGAGTAAGGTGAGGGTGTTTTTGTAATGATGATTATTGATCCTGTAGGACATTTTTACAATGTATTGGACAAGTCGGGGAAAAATGAGACAGTTGAACATAAAATGAGTCACTATTTTGAAGCAAACATTATATGTGTCTAAAGAGTACTGAATACTGTTGTAGCATTTTCCCAACAGTAGTTCTTTTACTGATTTTTTAAAGAGAGAAATGTGTAGCTGCTTGCAAGATGGTTTTATATTTTGATTTCCATATACAGTGTCAATCATAAAGTTGGCATCATATGGAAAAACTTTCAATAATAATTCATTTTGAAATTCGACTTGGGCGTCAAGTTTTGTTAAAAAAATATGAAAAATGGCTACACGATCGCTACATGTCAAAAGTTACAATTTATTCGAATTTAAAAAAAAAATTTCAAATTTCACACATGTTTCTCAAATTGAACGTTCCATTGCAATTTTTGGTCCTTGATATTTTTTGATTTCTTCCTTTTGTAACTTCAACTAAGCTGTTCTAAACTTTGGTTAGATAAGTGAAGTAGTTTGATGATATTTTGATAGATGACTTTGGAATCATTTTATTACTGAAAAAATCAATTTAAATAAATTTCGAACCTGAATGATACACGATATATCAACTTCGCAACAGAACTTTGAGGCGGGGATTATTATTTTCTGACGAAAATCATATTTTTTGATTGAATTAGTGCTTGAAATGAGTAAATAAATGAGGAAATGATAAAGCTACTATGAATGAAATGATTTTGTTATGTTAATTTAGTTTAATATCACAGACATTCCATAGATGCTGAAAAAATATCAAAAACTAAAAATTGTGATAAAACGTTCAAATGCGAGACACATGTAAAATTGGAATAGAAAAAACTTTCATCAGTAAACTTTTTGGAAATTCGAACAGAAAAGGACTATTTTCAGTGATTTAATATAATAATAATTAATGTTCTTTATTGGTTAAAACCAAATGGCCATCGACCGAGGTCCTTCAGCCAGTAACAATTTTCACATATAATTTTTATAATATCATTTCAAATTTCTAGGTCATGGAAGAAAGTGAAACTTTATGAAAAAAAAATGGATTTTGTCTTCAGTCTTGTTCACTTAGGTGTGTGATAACTTCCCAAATGGTTCTTTCCGGGTGCTTGTAGAGTGGGTGGCGTCTTTCTTCACGTTCCTTACAGTATGGTCTGAGGAAGTAGGAAGTTGATGTTATGTTCTCGGTTTGAGAATTTGCTTGCCAGATCCAAGAATCTGTTTTGGATTGGTTTAACTTTTGTCAGTTCATACAGGAGTTAGTTTAGTGGATTGTGAAGTGTGTTGTCCGGGTGGCGAATTTTGGTGATACTTTGGAGGGTGGATGTTCCAGCTACTTGGAGGTTTCTGAGGGCGGGTTTTCGCAGTGATTTATTTGAGAAAAAATCAACTTTTGACATGTAGCGAAAGTCACGTGACCCCGATCAAGTTTTTCTCAAATGATGCCTACTCAATGAATGACACTAATTTATTTTTTGTTTGTCTTGTGTTCAGTGTAAGATGAGAACTCAGGAGGATATCTGGTTTTGTAGTAATGTAATGATGAATTTTTGATATATTCAGATATATTTTCTCTTACATACAGTAAGTTTCTGTATATGTAGATGCATGAAATATACATGAGGTTATTTTTTATAAAGATCTGCTTGCAAGAATCCTGAGGATGCATGTTGAAAATATTCCTTATAGTTTTTTTTTTTACAATAGTATTCTCTGCCAATCTACAGATTGACCTCATTAGACAATTTTATCGATCATATTGCTGTATGGGAGGCTGTAATAGACATTCAACTTATGTAGGTGATTGGTATGTGTTACCAGGGCCTTTACTAGGGCGGGACCAGGAATGTGTGGTAACAATATGTTCAATAGGTGATTTTTAAATGAGTTGGTGAACACGTGTGAAAAAATGTCCTGCCATGTTTTTAAAATGAGTCTATGTACATTCGACTTGACTTGCTTCGTTTTCAAATTAGGTCTAAAGTCTAAACACATTCTAAGCACTCAGAGTAATACATGGTTGAATTCAGAATAAAAAAAGCTATCATAGTCTGTGAACACATAATCCGGACCATTAAGAACATATTAAAAAAACAAGTTTTTTCCAAAAATTCACTTTTTTTATATAACTGGAAATCAAAAAAACAATATTAAAAAGAAAATTTCTTCACCATTTAACCGAATTCATATCTCCACTTGTTTCCGAGATCCCCATGCTGTGCAACCTTTTCTTGGTCACACTGTATAGTAATTTATTGTTTTTTATCTTATTCTTCAAAACATCTTTTGATGAAACCGAGCATTTTGGGTGCTTCAGACGTGATGTTGGAAATATGAAGGCTATAATTGAATCAGGGTTTCAGAAGGATCAGTTCTGTGATGCCTATATCCATGATGTTATGTTCCGTTTGAACACAGGTATCCTTAATTTCATATGGGTGAGATATTAGGTTTCTGGAGTGGTCGAAGGATATTTTGATGCATTTAGCAGAGTCAAAATCCATATAATTTTTGGTACACCAATCAATTCAGTTGGTCAGGTCGGACTGGAGATTATGACTGTCAGTTTTATTTGTCATAATAGAATAAAGCTCTAGATCACCAGCGGATACGAGGAACTTTGAGGAACAAGAAGATTTATGAATATCATTGGTGCAAGATGTGATCCTTGAGGAACACCAGAGAGGACAACTTTTTTCGGTGATATCATATTGGAAATAATAATTAAAATAGCGTCGCAGTGGATTACCTTATCGATATTTATGGTGAATGTTCCACGAACATGAGCGTATGAAAGGGAGTCCCTCCTTTCGTACGCTCAAAAAAGTAAAAAAAAAATTCTATGCTGGATACTGTATCATCATTTTTTTCTAGCGCCTTAATCCTGAAGTAGCTGCGAACGTTTGCCAGTTGATTTTGTGGGCACCAAGCACATGGTTGAAACCCGAGACTAGAAAGCCTCCATCTAGTGCAGAGGTACAAAAACTAATCGACATTAGATTTACCGGGTGACAACGAAATAATTGTCCAGGGCGTCATTCAGTTGTTTTTTATGTTAGATTTTCGACATTTGGATCGAAGATATAGTTCCTCAAATCCCATGTTTTTATGTAAAAATAATTGAATATCACTTTTTTACCAGAACTAGACCTAGGTCGAGAATTTTGAATAGGTTGATATTTTAACGACTTTCGATAGAGCGTAAAATTCTCTTTTCAATGACATCACAAGTGGGCATTTGTTTTCAAAATGGTGGCGCAGGAGACAATCGATATGGCGGCATCATAACGTCATCGATCAAATTCTCTTCAAACAACCCGATCAAGTTGCAAATATACGAAGCACTTTAATTAGTTCATGATGAATCATGCGAAAATTGCGATTCATCGCCAATGAGGATTCCTTTTCGTAACTCTTTCAAATGATTTTCTCTTTCTTAAATGTTCATCAAAATTTTAATTAGAAAAGTGTACTTCTTTTAATTATCATTGAAGTTTGAGTTACTATCTACATTGTATAAATGCTTGACACACCTTGTTTTTATGATTAGGTTCTCATAAAAAATCATTTTTATGCAGCTGTAGGTATTTATTTAGGTGCAATGGCAACTTCCTCCTACCTCCTCTCCCTATCCTCCCTAGATACGTGCGATGTTCCACGAACATTATATGAATTTCCTTTCGTGCGCTCCAAGAGATAATGAAAAGCATTTATCTGTAGATACTGTTAATTTGAAAAAAGTACCATTTCGCATTTGAAATTGAAAAATGAATCGAAAGAAAGAATGCCTGCCATAAAAAAGAACCACTAAAAAGAATCCATGTTCCATCAAAAAACTAGTGAAATTGGAAATGGAAAATATTATGTTTGGTTTCATCATTCTAGAAAAAGATGTGAGGTATTGGTATTCCAATTGTTATTTATCAATAATAGTATCAATCAATTTTAGAACATGACCATAAAGAAACGACAATTACAAATATAAAAAGTGTATAATAGTCAATGATATGATTGGTATAAATAATTACCATTCCGAAATCCGAAATATCCGTTTTCATGAGTATTTGGTAAAACCAAACCTAAACCTGAAATTTGGTCAATGTGTAGCTATGAAGTAAATTTCGACACGGGGTTGATTGTATGACAGAATATCCTTTGTTGAATTGACAGAATCTGTAAGATGTATGTTACAGAGTCTGTCATACATACCTTACATAAATATTTTAGCTACATATAGAGGTGATCGGCGGAATAGCGGCATATACATCTTTGATCCAAACATCAAAAGTCTAAAATGAAAAACAACTCATTGACGCCCTGGCCAATGATTTCGTTGTCACCCGGTATAATGATTTTTTTCATTCCTTTTTCATTCTTAGATATTGCAATGGCTGCTGAGCTTGACGACGAAAATCCTCTGTGAAGGCAGAATGACCAACAAGGCTGGTTCAGAGTCCATTCAGTTGGATTCGGACAGAGCCCAGTTGCAGAGCGATGTGCGCAAAGCTGGAAGAAGGACGTATCCAGAGTATCTACTAATTTCTTGTTTTCTGGCAAGAGCCACCATATCTAACGTCAAAGCTGCGATTTCTTGGATACAAACTGTTAATGCCGATATCGATGATTAATCGCTATATTTATTATTGTATACTTACTCTTTTTAGTTCCTTATTATTTTATGGAGAATTTTTCGGGTTTAGGTCTAGATTCTAGAACTAGCAAAAATGTGGAATTATGAAGAACTTGGAGAGGTTTATTATCATTGTCAATATGGTTGTGTGTATTGTTGAATTTTGGGAAATATTTTAAGCTTATGATTTTTTTTTTGGTTTGTGACCCAATTATTCACCTACAGGTTAGGACAGCACATCGTTTGATTTTTATTTTCTGCAGGCGTTCATATTTCGTTACTATTCTTGATGCCCTTGCTTATTGCTTCCACTTTGATAATGAATTACAATATGTAAAAGCAAGATACAATAGTGTCATCTTAATATGCAGAGCTCTATTTTAAATGTTTTAATAAAGAAAAAAATTGAAAATCGCACAAACATGAGTTGACAACATATTTGTTAACATACAAAAAGTACTATTGGAACAGAATTGTTTTTGAAAAATGAGGTTGTAATTATTTTGAATCAAGAAAAACCTAATTTCGCAGGTATTTATCAATGCAAACATACCTGAAAATCATATTAAAATATTCTTTGATATTTCAGAAAACTATAATGAGACGTTCAAATAAATTTTATATTCATCAACTGAAGGTTATTGTTACAAGCAAAATACAGTCTGGGTGGTTGTGAAAGAGGAAGAAGTGATTTTTCTGTTATGAATTGATATATCCTTTCACTCAAGATGAAAGAGAAAGTTACCTTTGTTATAAGTTGATGTTTACCTCATCCAACCTCAATATTTCTTCCATTCGCCCAATGACACATGCAAATGTTCAAACTAGAAAAGAAATAATTTTGAAAACAACTAATTCTTCCATTTCAGTTCTACCCTATTTAATTTTAACTGAATGAAGCATTATAAATCATAAGAAATTCATGTTCATCTCTTACAAGACCAACTATATATTGCCATTTCATTTATAGGATTGACAAACACCCTTGAACGAAACGTACATATATTCACAATCAGTTTGGTTTAATCAAATAGTTGAGTCAAAAAACAAAAAAAAAATACAAAAACCAAGAATTATTTTAGACTATTTTTTCATTCAATGGTACTATTACCAATATAAAACTTGATATTTGTGACACTTCATCTCGTTTGTAAGAAAAAAATTGAAAATAAAATTTTAGTTTTTTTAAAATAACTCAAACTAGTAAAATTTTGCAATAGATTTCTCTTTTTCTATTAAATGTTTTTGTGAACACACAGTATATACAGTATTTTTGTTTTCTCCTAACTTACATCACAAATAATATTCAAATTTAGTAGTCTTGTATGATAATATATTATAGATCTTTGCATATGCTTCACGAATTAGATTTTTAGTTAAAGAAGACTGCTGTTTGTTTTCGATTGTGATTTCTGAGAGTGATTATACATATATATGTTGGAAATGTTGAAGTTGATGCAGATTTATATTGTTACTCAAATTTTTAAAATAGAAATAAAGTATGAAAACAATCAACGTGTTTGTACTCATTATTACTGCTACTATAATTTCATCAATTTTTACATGTTATATTACTACATTTTTTCATTACTGCAGTCTAGTTTTTTAATATTGTATTCCCGCAAAAAATTCAAAGCGTTTGACAGCAAATTGAAGAATCCCTAATAACAACAATAACATCTGTCAGACGTCGTAGAAACATCCATATGGGATGATAGGAACATCTCTGGAAAATCCTTATTTTTCTTGGGATGTTGCTGGCAACACCCGTGTCAGCATTTGCGATGTCTTATAAACATCCTATCAGAATGTTTGTGGGATGATACGGGATGTACCAGAAACATTCAGGGTACTTGATATGGAACATCTTAAAGAAACTTTTATATAGGATGTTTTTTGTTTGATGACAGTAATGGATGACACGGTATGAATTATTTTCAATCTGAAATCCTGAAAATGGCCGACCTATTTCCAGATATCAAGTAACAATCCGAATCCGAAAATATAAGGTCAGTGCGGTTCAATAACTAATAGAAGATGATAACAGTTGTTTGAGGCTCATATTTGTTGGCGCTGGGCCGACGGCTGTTATAGTAACTCTTAGCAACGTAGTTGTACCGCCATCTATCGGCTGGTATAACAAATAAATTCAGCAATAAATATGCTGAAGAGATATATTTTGATTTTGTCGTTTGATACATGGTTCATGAAGATAAGCAGGTACTTTGGTAATCTTATTGAGGAATATTTAGTATAATTATTTCAATTTGTTATCGATGAAATTAGCCGGCTTTGGTATAGGTATAAGTATATATGTACGAATACAGTTTTGATTTCCATTTTTCATCAACTTTTCAATGTTTCAAATGTCACAATTGTTTGAACTGTTCAATCATGTCAATCATCATTAGCAGATATGGAACCATGATATTGTTTATGAAAAAAGATCAAATGGGATGTTTCTGGAACATCCAATGAAAACATCTGATGGATGTCCCAAGAGAAACATCTCTGGGATATCGTACCTAAGTCTGAAACATTGGGACATTTGTAGGACCTTAGCGGGATGTACCAGCAAGATCCCGTGTTGTTAGGGATAGGGGCCCTTTTACAATGAAACAAATTTGCTTACAAACCCATATATTAATGAATACAGTCAACCAGAGACGACGTTTCAGTGACGTTTCTTCACGTCAGTAGAAGACCAACGGGACATCATGAGAACGTCATGTGACGTGCAAAATTACGTGTGTCTGTCACATTCCAATGACGTCATTACTCGATGAGAGAACAACAAAATAAATATCGATAAATAGTTGATTTGATCATAATAATAAGTATAACTAAACTAAAACTCATGTTAAGACCAAGTCTAATACAAAATGGAAACCTTCAATAATACGTCACGTGTTTTCATCTGTACACGCATTGATTATGAGAAACTGAGGCTCGAATAAGTTGGAAATCATATAGAGTACTACCACATCTCAACTACCACTATTCAAATCGAGGTGACACTTAATGCAGTACCTATGCGAGAATATGTAGTAAATACTTCAGAGTAGCGAATGAACTATGATTATTATTGTCAACGTAACGACAGAATCTATAATCTATCTTTGCAGATTGAACTATCTGTCAGATAAACCTTTGTTAAATCAAAATTTCAATGCTAATGAAGACAGAGATGGAACAAAGGACATACTATTTGAATATTGAATTATGGTTCTTTATGAAAAAAAAAACGAACTTATAATAATTGATGACGAAATGAAAGAAAAAATACATCAAAGTTTTCATCATAAATAATTACAAAAAATTATAAATTCAGAAGAGCTGTATATAGAAGTCCGTGGCTTGCAAGGCATCATTTTTCTTATGGCATCTGTTATTTCTTTGGGAATGCCTTGCTTTTTGGCATCACTCTTGGAATGTGTAGATTTCTTTAGAGTGGATCTGTTTGAAGAATTGAAGAATATCTCAGTTATGTCACTCTTCTTCAACAATAAAGTTGTAACTTTCGAGAATGGAACATTATTATATATACTTCAGTTTTTTAGTATTGCAGAACATTCATCAACATTCTCGAAATCCGCCTTATCTATCTATCATTTGCTTTAAAACAAATGGATTTTTTCTATTCACTTGCTTCAACTGCTTCATAAACCCCAAGTTTGAAAAAAATCCTTTGAGTTTCATATGTTTTTCTATTTGACTATGGACATTATCAATTTCTTGAACTGTCCCATATATGCCCAGGATTGAGTATTTCATAGTGATTGTTCTCAAATCAGGATTAGTACACTGAAGGCGATAAATGAATTACGATTTTGAGGCACACAGCTATATCACTACTGGTTATGAGGTGCTCAATGGAATTATACCTTCCAAGATTTTTGATTAACCCCATCTTCTGAAAGGAACTTGCCAATTAGTTTCCAGTGCGACCCTGCATTGTTTCCAACCATATGACTCAGTAGGCATGTGAGATTGAACATGGTCAACTTAGGGAGATAGAAGTGATTCCCAACTGAAGTTCTTGGGAAGGTTATAACATTCTCTATAAGTCGAAGCATAAAATGGGAATTTCATTCTGCTTGTCAGCAGATTTATTTGCCCTCATACATTGCTTTTCTCTCGAATGTTTATTCATCTCTTCCAGATCTTCATCAGTCAATAAACATTTTAGCCTCATGTAAAATCGAGAACACCTCTCTCATACATCTTTACTTCTTTGGTTTATATATGGAATTCGTAATTGAAATTGTTGTTGAAAATGGCCCGATGAATTGATAATTTGACTGGGTTTCCGATGGAGGAGATATAAAGTCATACATTTTGGCTAGTGACAATTAATAACCCAGCTTCCAAATACTTTTTGCATGTATTAGCTCTGTAGTATAGTGTGATTCTACCGGAAACTGCCCGATATGTTTTAAAACGGTTTGCTTTATTTTATTACTCAATGCTCTTGAGCTTGATGTTCTACCACGGGCATTCTTTTTAGGTGTATCCGGGTCCGACTCATGGGATGTATAAATTGGTTTTTGTGAGATGCCAATTAATAGTTCCGAGGAAATACTATTTACATACACACGTATATTATCCTCTCTCTAATTTTCAAAAACTATTGGAAGGAGTAACTTCTCCGAGAGGGCCTTCCTACAGTTTCCCGACCTTTTATTCCCTGTTCTTTTGTGTTGAATTGTTGAGGAATAAATATTTTTCATTCTGATTCAGATTGTAATAAGAATTGACCAACGATTTTTTGTCTGTTTCTCCGATATTTTTTGGGCAACTGACTTTACGGACTCTGTTATAGTCTTTACGATCAGTTATATCTTTCTTTCAGGAAATTTCTTTCCTTGAACACTCAAATATTCCTTACCACTTTGGTAGAGTTTTTGCTTCACATCGATTTTCCAATGTTTAGGATTATACGTATAATCTCTTACGTGTGTTTCGCTCTTTGAATTTCTTAGTATCTCCTAAGTTTTCTTTTTCTGATTCAATATCATATTATCCAGTGTCTCCTGTTCAACCACTATCATATTGTCCGGATCGCCCTCATCAGTATCTCTTTCGGCCTGGTCTAAAAGTATATATTTTTCAGTGTTAATTATCATAATCAGCAGTACTTGAACACGTCGGTTCAGAGATTTTTGAATGAAAATCTTGTTGAACAGGGATCACGTCATTATTTAGAATAATTGTCGTCAAACAAACACTCACCTACTTCTAAAACTGAATTTTCAGTAACAATAAGATGTTCTTCAATAGACGCGAGTTCTTTTTTCTGGCTGGAAATGGAATGATAGCAGAGATTTCTGAAGAACATTTTCCGTGAAAGTATTATATAAAGAATAAGTGAAAGGGCGCCAACCTTTCTCTGGTGTTTCCATAATGTCAAAGTGCTAGTGAGTCTGGTATCACCCACCAGGCGAATATATGGTTCTTCTCTGATGATGAAATCTAAGAGCATCAGAGTACGTCTGGGTGCTGAACCCCATTATATGAGAACAGTATTCTAGACCAGGTCGTATCTGTGCTTTTTAAATGATGAGAAGCTGTTGAGGTGTGAATAAGTAGCTTTTCGCACGGAATAAAAATCCGAGTTTTTGTGAAGCTGCTTTCGCGATGTATCTGACATGATTATCCCATGAAGGAGACACCGAGCATAGATATAGTTGACTTTGGTTAGTATGCAATATGTGTCCGTTAATATATGCGAGTGATCTCGTGAAGTAGTGAATAAAATCATTTATAGCCACACCATTCCTTTCTGAGGAATCTCCTGAAACACATCGATTTACATTTCCAATTACGAACATTCATGAGGAAAAATTGAATATACAGGGTGATTCACGTTAAATTATTCGATCTTGGAGTATCTATGGAAAGCTGGATTCAAAAATATATATTACACATAGAGGTTATACACAGTGCGTTCGTTGAATCAAAAGTTGTGGATCTATTGGTTGAAAATAATGTGAGGAAAATTATTTTGAAAGACCGCTCCAAGCCGTAGAATTTTATCATCCGAGCTTTCTTTCAAATTCGATCAATACATATATACAGAATGATTTGTGTAGGAAAAATTCCATCACCGGTATTTTTTTAACGGCGACCCCATTTTACGAGAGCACTCTGAATTCAACGGACGCCGTTTATACAAGCCCATGTGTGATATAATATTGAATCCAGCTTCTTATAGTGATTACAAAAATTCATATAGGGTGTTCCAATTGACAAATGTGGTGCGGACGTTATAATTCAAGCGTGTGTCATCCTGTATATTTGATTTTTTCTAATAAATGTGTCAAATGGAAAATATAAGTTTTCCTGCTTTAGAATACTTCTCAGGAATGGATAATATAGATGAGAATGGATTTATCCACTACGACTTTACGAGAGCATTGAATTTATTGGACACACTGCGTATACAAAATCCACATGTGTAATACATTTTTGCACTCAGCTTCCTATGGTGATTCCAAAAATTAAGTGTTTCCGTCTTTGTTGGGACGTCGTTAAGACCTCTAGTATTGAACGTCAATAAGACGTTATGGAATATGTCGTGGACAAGAAATCACGTAAAATACACGTCAATTTGACGTCTTCTCAGGTCACTATCTGCTACCTCTGGGATTGTATTTTTAATATACTCTAATATTGGAACTATATCACTATATCATCATTACAATATATCTATATTATGTTTATTGGCCCAATATGAAATCATGATTTAGCCAAGATGCTGTGCTACCTGGAGGATATTCATGGCTTTGAAGAAATATTGATAGGTACTGTTAGTCATGATGTATGATATTTTGTTATTCTATATTTTCTTGGACCTACCACATTTGAAACTGTGTTACTGCTCTTTGACGCTATTTCATTTGGACAGGTCAACATGTTATGTGAAGGAAATTTTTAGCATTATACAATGGTAAAAAAAACAAATATAGCGTTCACAAGAAACAGAAAAGTTTTTTGTCATGCTTGCACAAAATTTTTCAAATTTTTTCGTTTAATATTAACCACAGTATAAACCCTCATAAAAGGGTGAAAACGATGTCAGAGATTTTCAATTTTTTTCAAAATATTTCAGGAACGGCTGACATTTTTTGAAATTGAAAAACGTCGTATTGAAGAGGTTCAAATTAGGTAACTTTTGTTCAATTCAATCAACTCTCTATTTCTTGCCGTTAAGTAAATATAGAGCAATATAGAGAAGTGCACAAAAAACGGCCAGCACTCAGAGGTAAATAGTCGGTAGTGAATACCAAACGTTTAGTAAAATAAGCGCCAGTCACTACATTCATCAAATAATACCACAACAAAATTGTATCATACTATTTCGTAGTAGTAAGATTTGATATAGGTAGTTTAGTATTACACAGCTTTCTAGTGGTATTACTATGTAGTGACTGGCGCCTATTTTACTGAACGTTTGGTATTTACAACCGACAATTTCTTCAGTGAGTGCTGTCTGACGAATCGGTGGGTAGCAAGTATACCATATTGATCATTAATAATTGACAAAACAATTTTTGTTCTATCACTTATTCCGGTTTCACCGGAAACGACCCCAACTTTATAGATTTCAAAATGGGGCGCCCTCTGTATCTTATTATTTTATTCCATAATCGATTAGGGCTTATCATAACGAACTCAACGATACCGGGTTTATTTCAAACAATTATATGTACCTACTTATAGGAAGATATTCTCGTTCTTCCACTGATAATTGATGAAGAATTTTATATTTCAGGAGTACCTCGCAACGAAGAATCCATTTTGAAGAAATGCTATACCCAAATGAGATGTAGATGTATAGACATCACGTACCAGCCAGAGGTTAAAAAGATATCATATTATATTGGCATTCATAAAATTGTTTTCTTGAAATCTGCTGTGTCTGTTTGATATAATATAATTGAGACAGTATTTAACAAAGAGGTATGATGGTAACATTGAAATATATAGAGTTACTAGAACTTTCAGATCCATTGGACCCCTAAAACCCCTACCCATCTCCCTACCTCGGTATAGTATGTACCCAATGTCGATAATTTGCAATTACAGTCCCATCATTTATATGTATGCTGGGCTTGCTATGGAAAACTCAAGTGTCGATTATGTGGTACTGGTCTTTTGCCTGGGATTTGAATGATTGCTGGGAACCCAGCACTGGGACCAGTTGCCGGCCGCAGTGTATATACAGAGTCCCGCATATATTTGAAGCCATTTACTGGGCCGCTGATGTTAGTTATGGGAAAAATATATCAGGCCATTAATGCCCCATATCAAAATGTTTGCTGGGTTACAAGATATTCTTTGATGAGTTATGAGTAATTGATATACATGAACAAAATTATCCGATCATTACCGTTAATAAGAACTGAGGGTGTTAGGAATACATGAAAATTATGTTTTTTTCTCCACTTGCCCACAATAATGGTATAGGTAAAATAAAAATAGATACTATAATTGAAATTGACTTGATAGACACCCTCTACAATATATATTCTGTCATTTCATTGAAATTATACTTACCTACATTTGAAGTGTGAATTTATCTAGGACAGTGTCACAATTTCAAGAATGGCGCACAAATTCAATGAAGATTTTCTCAACTTATTTTGTGAAAAGAACTCTGACGGAACAAAGAATTTGCGCCTTAAAGGGAATGAACTGCAACAGAGAATTGGGTAAGAACTGAGCATTTGTCATCATTATATTATTGCCACTCAATTTGTAATTTTTTTGCAGAAGCCGGGTGAAAGCCAAAGACATGCACTGTATTGCAAATTTTCTGAATGCTCACAGGGAAATAACGAGATTGGACTTAAGCTACAATGACTTTGGAGATAAAGGACTGATGATACTTTCTGATGAATATTTCAGTCGAGAAAACGATCTTCTGCATATCAACATAATGCATTGTGACATTGGGGTGGAAGGATTGGAGTTGTTTTCTTGTAGCGAATGCTTACATTTGAAATCATGCAGACTTAATGGAAATAAAATTGGAAGTAGGGTGAGAGATCATAAAACAGTATGCTCGATTATGGAACTCTTGAGTATGCACACAATGATGGGGTTGTACAGACTAGTCGAATTTACGCCACACCTATTTTATATTGATCATTCTATGTATAAATAGTATTTGATGCAATCATTCGTTATTTAAAATCATCGAAAATATATAATATCAATAATTAAATTCGGCGACTTCAGAAAACGCTAGGTTTGATGACGTCTTAAACCGAATTCTGGCTTCCGCATAAAAAGTATATAAGACCACATTATATGTTTTTCGAAGCTGCCAGATTTGTGACTAGTAATTACTTATGAGATTCAATATGACCGATCACAATAGTACGAAAGCGCTGAACGGACATGATACTTTTTTTTTATAATTGCTAGTTTGAACTGGCATTTAGCTATAATTGCCAGTTTGAACTGGCAATTAGCCATAATTGCCAGATTGATCTGGCAATTAGCCATAATTGCCAGTTTGAACTGGCATTTAGCCATAATTGCCAGTTTGAACTGGCATTCAGCTATAATTGCCAGTTTGTACTGGCAACTATAGCCATAATTGCCAGTTTGAACTGGCATTTAGCTATAATTGCCAGTTTGAACTGACATTTAGCGCTTTCGTACGCAAGGACCCCGCAAATGGAATGTCACAGTTTAAGCAATGACAGCTCTGTCTAATAGATGCCCATTACTTGAGAGGAAATCAGATGGCTACAAGAAGAAGAAATCAAGAATGTCGCTGTTATCTGTCACAGCCGTAGAAATATTATGGTGTATAACTCGCAGGGAATGCTAATTTCCCACTCGAATGATTGCAGCATTATTTGCCTACGGCTCATGCTGCAAATTTCATTCTCGGGGAAAATCACTAACATTCCGTTCTTGTTGAACAATATACTATATAGGTCTCTAACGACACAGTGGAGTAATTGAATGCCAATAATCCATTATCAGTCCACTCGCCCTTTGCGTTGGTCGAAATAATCGTTCGCCTTCGCATTAGTTTCTTGGCGTCACTAGATGGCGATAACATGACTAGATCTTTTCTTACGGAAGCGCTAAATGCCAGTTCAAACTGGCAATTATGGCTAATTGCCAGTTCAAACTGGCAATTATATCTAAATGCCAGTTCAAACTGGGAATTATATGGCTAATTGCCAGTTCAAACTGGCAATTATAGCTAAATGCCAGTTCAAACTGGCAATTATGGCTAATTGCCAGATCAAACTGACAATTATGGCTAATTGCCAGTTCAAACTGGCAATTATAGCTAAATGCCAGTTCAAACTGGCGAATATAGCTAATTGCCAGATCAAACTGGCGATTATGGCTAATTGCCAGTTCAAACTGGCAATTATGGCTAATTGACAGATCAATCTGGCAATTATTTCTAATTGCCAGTTCAAACTGTCATGTGATGATAAATTGAGAAAAACAGGAAATGAAAGGGAAAAATTTCGTTTTTGCGAAAATCCAAACGCGTCGCGATACAAACTGATCTGAGTTAGTGGCAGAACGTCAATATTTCCGTGAATATTTCGCCCACGTCGAAAGATAATATTCATTTCCGTCGACCTCCTATTAACGAGTAAGTTTAACGTTTATAAAATCATTCATTAATGACCCCTATCAATAATCAATATGTCTATCAATGCACGATTGTTTGATAGGCAACCAAACATACACCGCGTGCATTCATTGTTTATGCTATAATAACTTACGGAATCTGCATTTAAATCGAAAATATGGATTTCATCGAAGACTTTCCGTTAAAGGGTTTGCCTTTCCAAGTTTCTGAAACGATTTTAATCCCTGTTTTCTAACACAAGGAACTTATATTCTATGTTGATCATTTTGACAAATGTGAAATGTCACTAATGTCAGTAACTAGGCTACTGGGTGATTCTTTGTAGTTTCCAGAAGAATGATGAATTCGCGAACCAAGTTTCCTTCTTTGCAGGAGAAATGAGAAATGTAGTCGACGGAAAAATTTTGTAACCAACTCGTATATTAAAAGGCAAATAATGATCTCGAACATTAACGCGCTCACTTCGCTCGCACGTTAAAATATCTCGATCATTAATCGCCCTCATTAATATACTAGTTGGTTAAATAACTATTAATTACTGGTTAACTAACTTTCGAAAATTTATTAATTAATATTTTAGTGAAGAAACTACATGATTTTAGGAAGAAATTGAAAAAAAATTAGTAAATTTTGAACCATCAATAATTGGATAACCACAATGCAACTACGGTTAGTTTGATTAGATATAACCCCTACCACTAACTTCTTTTGATCCATGACTTATGAGACAGCCTGTGTGATAGTTTTAGAGTTGGGTATACAATAAGGTAATTTCCAAAAATAACCATTTTTGGAAAGTTGCTAATAAATCACTTTTCTTTGAATTCTATTTGTTTTCATAAAAACATTTCCAAAGTATCGATTCTGGGGATCCTGAAATCAGTCTTCGTTTATAAATAATTCGAAAATGGAACTTTCCCTTTGAATATGTCCAATTTGACCTACCGTTCACAATTTTTTTATGGTTGGTGTGAATTTTGTGCCGTTATCCTTCAACATTTTATTATACCAAATTACCTTTATTTTCAGGGTGCTCGTTTCATAGCACAACTCATCGACAGATGTCCATCTTTAGAATACATTGACATTGCCGAAACTGACCAAACACTAGAAAGCATTGAGTCAATATTGATAGTAATTGAGCATAGTACTATAAAGGTATTGGATATATCGAGAATCATTCCCAATTCGTACTATACGAAGTATAACAAAGCAACATTGGCTGACGACCTATCAGTGGTCTTAAAAGTAAGTAGCAGTAGTATTAATACTAGTAGAATGGCATGCCTTTCTGATGGTGAAGAAATATACAGGGTAACTCACGGTCCATGGTACGTTAGACGTTTACGGAGAACGGGACATATAGGATTATTCTGAAATTTTCTTTACTCACGTAGTTGCTCTTGGTCAGCTCTGCGGCAATGCCGCTTCTATCGAAAAGTAGCAACAACTTTGTTATTTTAAATGGAACACCCTGTATTTTATTGCATTTTCAGATTCTCTCTGAAGAGCTAATTTCATCGATGCATCACACTTGGGGTCTAGCGGAAATGATTACAGAGATATAGGGTGTGAAAAATCGACATTTTTCAATTTTAGGAATTCTTTTTGTCGAAACTATTCATTATTGGTCTAAACAGCTCACATGTCCCTATCTCAACTTTTGATCAACTATCTACTGACATTTAATTGAAACAATAAATACAGGGTGGTGCAGAATTCAGAATCTTGATCACCTGGTATATGTCCCAATTAAATATCAGTAGATATAGTTAATCAAAAGTTGAGATAGGGACATGTAAGCCGTTTCGACCAATAATGAATAGTTTCGACAAAAAAAATTCCTAAAGTTGAAAAATGTCGATTTTTCACACCCTATATCTCTGTAATCATTTCCGCTAGACCCCAAGTGTGATACATCGATGAAATCAGCTCTTCATAGAGAATCTGAAAATGCAATAAAATACAAGGTGTTCCATTCAAAATAACAAAGTTGCTGCTACTTTTCGATAGAAGCGGCAACGCCGCAGAGCTGAAAATGTTTTAGATCGATAGACCAAGAGCAACTACGTGAGTAACCGAAATTTCAGAATGATCCTATGTCCCGTTCTCCATAAACGTCTAACGTACCATTGACCGTGAGTTACCCTGTATGTATACCGTTCAAATATGGAGAGTTAGTGAATTTGACGTTCTGTTTCCGAATCCGAAGTGATTTCCAACCTATCTTGTCCCTTTAGATATTATTTTCCGGACATGTGTGTAGTTCCACGGCTGTTGGCCAGCAGTGTATACAACTGAAGATGACGTCACTTAGTCATAGTAAATTTTTGATATATCTCTCGTTCCAGCAAATTTTAGGAAAGTGGGACAAAAATGAAATCTTCGGAACTGCAAATTTCTCCGGAAAAATATGAATAGTTAGTGGGGCGCCCTGATTTCGAATACGAAGTGACTCAAATTATTTCGACTCCTAATATAATTTTCCGGAAATTGGGGTGGTTCCATGGCTGTTGGCGAGCAGTGTATATCACTGAAGAGGACCCCATTTGGTCAAAGAGTGCATTTTTGGAATAACTCCCGCTCCAGCAGATTACAGGATCCTTACCCATTCATTACGAAAGATACAGCTAGGGGTGTTCCCATTTGAAGTGAGACACACTGTATAAAATCTGTTTTTAAAATTTGAGAAGGCATTATTGACAGCAAGCAATAGTGATTCACTCGCCGATGAAATATGAAGTCTTGTCTCGAGTCTCGTCTCGCAGCCCCGAGTCTCGTACGAGAGTCTCGCAAATGTATCGCAATTTCGTCATGCATAATCTTGTTCCAGTCTACTACGGGATATTCATCTTTACCTACTATTTAGGTATAATGTAGAAGTAGGAAGAGAAAATTACAACAAAAATAACATTATTTATCAAAAAGTAAATACCTGATAGGTACATACTTACATCATACATCTAAACAAGAAAAAAAACAGCAATATATATTCTAAAGTTATATAGATAAAATAAAAAGTAACACGTAGGTATATTCTAAACAAATAAACAGAACAAAAACTTCAATCCAACATAATTTTACTTATTTGGGAAATAGGTATCTAAGAAAATAGTTATTTGTTTCACTAGGCAGAAAAGTAGTCAATCTACATTCGCTGCCGTGTGAAACATAGCATTTTCATCTTCAAATGATATTAAACCAATTTCGTGTATTTTTTTATTGAAAACTCCATCATTTTGTGTTCACCCAATGTCAGTGTCAATTTTGATCACTAATTTCATTAGAATTTCTTGGAACGTTGCATAGCAACAAACTTTTTCTGCCTAGGCAGTAAAAGTACACATTTTCTGCCTGTTAAGCGGCAGGAAAAAGCCATTATCCCTGCCGCTTGGAGAAAAAAACCTTTATCAGTCAGATCAGCCTTCACGATCGCAAATGTTTTTGTTTTTCACCCAGTCGTTAAGACATAACAAACATCGTGCAGATTCATCATTAAGGCGATTCCGATGTTTTCTTATAGAATTCTTTCTAAATATGTTTTATTATGAATGAAATTCTCAAGTCTGCAGTCGGCACGCAGAAATATTTACCTGCGAGACTCTCGCACGAGAAGTCTTGCACGAGACCAATAAAAGTCTCGTCTCGTCTTGTCCGAGTCTCGTCTCGAGTCTTGTCTCGAAAACGAGACGAGACCATGCGAGACTCTCGAAAACGAGACTCTCGCGGGCACCACTAGTTCATTATTCTAGTCATCGATTGAAATATGTTTTCTCATTTTCAGCTCAACCAAACTCTTGTCGAGTTGCATGTGCAAAAATTTGAGTTTGACGGCCATGACGTTGAACTTCTCTTGAGTGGTTTGAATGTCAATAAAACCTTGCTGGTCCTGGATTTGGGATGCAACGCCATTGGTGATCTTGGCATGGAGATATTATCTGAATGGTTGAAAACCAGGCCATCCTGTAGGGCTTTGAATGTCTCCTCGAATGATATTCATGATAGTGGTGCTAGGTAAAAATTTTTCAAACTCAATTCTTCCCAGAGAATTATACCATATGTTGAAATTATTTTATTTTATTTCAGAGCTCTTAGCTTTGGTCTGCCATTTTCTAAATTGAGATTCCTGGACATAAGTAATAACAACATTGGAGATTCTGGTCTGGTCGATTTGCTCAATACATTGAAGAAATTTTGCAGGATGCGTATGTTGTTCTTATGGGGTAACAAATTTGGTCCTCATGCTTGTCATGTAAGATCGATAAGTCCCAAAGTTATTTTAGTCCTCATAATAATAATTAAAGTAGTAATTTATATCGAGATATCAACACGAATGTTCAGCCAACAGATACAAATATAAGCTGAATAGTAATTATACATAGAGAAGATATTTTTTTTTAAGTCGAGCGGTAAGAAATAGGTTGAGATCAGAGAATAATGGCTATACTTATCTGATACACATTGACTTACATATCCCTAGGAAGTAATGTTGACTATTTCATGCATTTGTCAAATGAACCAATCAGTATATGTACAAGCGGGTGTTTAAATAATCAAGATCAAATCATCGTACCTATCTAATAACTGTATACCATTCATAATTATTATAATTGAGAATTATTCAAGTAAGATGTTATGTTATTACTGCTTCGATCAAATAATTATATATATTTCGTTAGATGTCAATATTTTCTGTTCATTGTACTTCATTCTATCGAAATTTCTAATTTGTCACTTTGTGGAATAGTCTAATAAAATGTCACTTATTGTGATTGAATTTATCTCATAAGTCTGTCTTTCATGCCTGAGCTCAACTGAATTACTTCGATCAATTCAGTTTCGTTCAGAAATAAATTGACAGACTCATCGCGAAAATTCAATCATTTGTGGCATACTCCTGAAATATAAGTTTATCCATCAATTATCAGTGGCCTTTCTTGATATCAGATGATATCATAAACGAAATACTGTTGCATGAGTTTATAACTTGATTCGTTTATACAGGGTGATTCACATAAGAACCGACATAGAGCAGGGGCATGTAGGGGGTCCCAAAACATGGCAATTTAACGCAACTTACCTCTATACCAAGTTGCTTCCCTAAGGAGTTATAGCAGGGCCTACTCTATCTTACCGGGCCGGAGCATCGCTTTCGTGACGTCACACCAGTAGGGACAAAATCAAAGCAGTGGAAATTGTCTCTCCCGTTTCATTGATTTACCTCGGGAAAACGGTCACAGTTAGCGAAAAATATCAAGAGGTCAAATATGTACAGAAAAGAATTTTCCAGAAGATGAATCTAATTTCACTGATTTACGATCATTAATTTCAGAAATATGGCATATCAAAATTAGTTGACGCCATTCAGAATTGTCCTTTTTCAAACAGCTACCAAAATTCCAATATTCAGTTCACAGAAATGATTCAATCATGAAAAGATTTCGCATAGTATCTAGATTGACCGAGTTTTTTCTCAAATTCCCAAGGGCCAACAACAAATCGATATTTCGATTCAAGTAGAACGATGATTCAGGTGTTCATTACAGAATAGTTCAAAAAGTTCGGACGCCTCCCATGCTAATCCTATCAACTATGGATATATGCTGTCACTGACTTTTTTGTAGGGAATTTGATTGCCTACAAATCGGTATAATACACATCCACTTTATCTCGAAGGGTTTTAGCAGCGTTTATCTCTGAAGATGATCAGGACGCACTTTGATGACGTTAGAAATCCTATCACTCGAGTGTGTTATTACACAAAAACGCCTATTCGGTATCATATGATATCATATGAACACAACCTAACAAAAATAATTGAAAAAATATGTATCTCAACAATGAGAGATATAAAAATGAATATAACGAACTGAATAACAAAATACCCAGAACAACGATATATGAATGAATAAGGAAAAAATGAAAAAAAAAACGTTGAATCCTTATACACAAACAAAACCAAACAAAATAAACTGTAAAAATGATCAACATAACAAAATAGAAAAAATTGATAGATTGATCACAAAATGAAATACACTAATAACAAAAAATATATTTACATCATCTTAATCACAAACTTAAAATCTGAACTATATCTCATCCTGAAAGTTTAGTGATATTTCTTTTTCAATTTTTTTTTTATTTTGCAATAATTGTTCAACAGACATATACAACAGATATCTGAAATGGTTTTAGAGAATGTTCTGCTGATTCCATCAAAAGTCCCACAACTGCAACATTGATTCTCGGAATAATTGAGAGATTTTAATTTCTGCTAAATTCTCCAAAACTTTATGTTGTGACTTACCTTGTGGAAATATTGTTTCGAATTTTTCAGACACCAATATCAGTTGGTCTGAACCATACGCCATTTAGAAATATAATGAGTAATAAAAAGTATATCGCCCTTTACCAGTCCAAGGAATTACCGCGAAATCGTAATACAGCGAAATTTGGGTAGGTAGGTATAACGGCCCATTTTTTACGCGCTCTTTATATTTAATTTCTTTCGGACTCATTGTAGGTAACTCTAAAATTTTTTCACTATTCAATTGATTCATCATCGTAGTTTGATATATTGAGTTAGTTTCATCATATTCCAATTCCAAATTTGCAAAAAATAGTATTCTGTAGTACAACGTCCTGATTTTCAATAAAATGGAATTTCGTTACAACGCCATAACTCGGTAGTGATTCATCCTTTTGGATTCATTTTTTCACCAAAAGTTGAGGAATTTGTTGGGGGTCATTTCGTCTCGATTGAGTGTGCTCCTAAAATTTATAGTAAATGAGCTATAGCCTATCAATTACGAACGCACCAGAACGGACTGATGTGAAATCTCGACCTACTAGTGTGACGTCAGCGTCGAGATAGAGGGGATAGACTACGGCCCGGTGAGATAGAGTAGGCCCTGGTTATAGGCTTTGAAGTGGAGTTATAAATTTTGAAAAAAATCGATATCTCCGTTATTCTTGAACTTAAAGCAACCAAATTTGATACACTTTGTGGATGTATTTAGGGCGTTACTTGACAGTAACTAGAGTTTAATTGAAATTTGTAAAGGGGGTATACCGGGTGACGTACCATTATTATTCAACAGAATCTTGTTGTGTGGGAATTTTCACTTACAGACCTTAATACATTTAAATTATTTTCAGTGAATCTACTTTGCCAGGATCTACGTGTTGTAATATTTATGTTATCTGCCTTCTGATATTCAGCTAGTTATGTGGAAAATATTTCTTCCTTTTCATTGTCGATAAATGCTGACTTTTCACGACATATTTATAGTGGTCAGCATTATCAACAGAAAATATTCAGAACGGCAGTAGTCCATGAATACCTACTAATATAGTAAAAGCGCTTCCCAATCTTGCCACAACGGTCTTCTTGGTGATCCTCAATTACACTTCGATCCTGTTGTATGATAAATAAATAAATACTAACAAAACAGAATATATGATTTTTCACCAAAAAAATAAACAAAAAATGTACCTCAACCTTAAAATAAAAAATGAACTCTTAAAACAAACTGACCAGATGAAATATCTTGGTATTTGGTTTGATGACAGGTTGAAGTGGGACAAACAATTATTGGTGCATTGAGAAGATGTCCCAAACTTGATATTAAAATTGCAAACATGATTCTCTACTCTCATACACTGAGTCGTATCAACTATTTAATAAATGTTTGGGGATCTTGTTCAAAAAATAATTTCAATAAAATATCAACATTATATAGAAAATCGTTAAAAGTATTGTATTGTCTCCCATTTGATACACCAACCAATCAATTGTATGAAATAACAAATAAGTATTCTCTAGATGAAATATATAGAATTAAAACTCTTGAAATATCATATAATATCATAAATAAAAAATTGAAGTCGAATATTATTTTGATACGGAATTCTGAAATTCATAATCATGAAACTAGACAATACAACTTGTTTCATCTTGACGCCGCTAGCTCCATACTCGGACAAAAAAGAGATTCAATAAACTACCTGATAATATAAAAATTTGCAGAAATATATAGGTACATTCAAAAATGAAGTGAAAAAACTGATTATTTCTGAGCGAACTGGATAACACTAATCATGCCATTTTTTTTACAAATATTATTCTTTGTTTGCCAATTTACAGTTGTTGATATATTTTGAATGATGCTATGTTTACCTATGGGTATATAATTATGTACTTCCTTATACCAGAGCCTATTCTGTCTGGAAGTTATTTGTTCAAATAAATAAATAAATAAATAAATAAAATAAAGCTCATCTATGTTTTATCTTTCATTCGGTAGCTTATAGCTATAGATAATCAGTCTCAAGTCGATACCATATACACAGATTTTTCAAAGGCCTTTGACAAATTGGACCATATAATACTAGTATCTAAATTGAATAATCTTGGCTTCGGCACTAACCTACTGAACTTCTTTCAATCATACCTCAGTAATCGGTCACAATATGTTGAATACCGTGGTCATAAATCGCAAATTTTCATTTCTACCAGTGGGGCACCTCAGGGAAGCAATTTAGCCCCTCTTCTATTTTCATTATTTGTGAATGATATAGGTGAAAATATAACAAGCAACATTCTTTAATTTGCTGATGATCTGAAATTATTCAGAGTCATTAAATCTCATAATGACTGTGAGTTACTCCAAAATGACATTGACCGTCTAGCATTTTGGTGTGAAATAAATAAACTACCCCTGAATATACAGAAATGTCATTACACTACCTATACTCTGAAAATCAAACCAATCGAATACACTTACTCAATAAATCAAGTTTTTTGGATAGGTGTGATGTAACAAAAGATCTTGGTATTAACTTTGACTCCAAATTGAGCTTCTCATCACACATTATTAAAACTGCATCAGCAGCGAAAAAATGCTTGGTTTGATTTTCAGAAATTGCAAAGACTTCAAAAATGAAGATAGCCTCATTGCTCTCTTTACCTCATATGTGAGATCACGCTTAGAATATGGCTCGCTGATTTGGTCTCCTATTTACTTGAATCACATACATCTGCTCGAATCAATTCAACGGAAATTCATGAAGTATATTGTATATAGAATTGATGGAATTTATCCTGAACAAGGTTTAGATAATAACTTATTATTAAACAGATTTTCACTATTGTCTCTGGAGGACCGTAGAACTTACCACTCTTGCATATTCATCTATAAACTCACAAACAACCTGACTGATTGCCCAGAGTTATTATCTCAACTAAATTTCAACATACCTCGTTTGAACAGTAGAACTTCACTTTGTTTTTATTTACCTACTCCAAGAACAAATATACAATTGAAATCTCCAATTCATTCGATGTGCAGAAAGTTCAATCAGATATGCGAAAAAACTGATATATTTTCAACTCCCATTGGAGTGTTCAAAAAGGAAATAAAACATATTTTTTCTACCTTGTGATGTTTACGAGGCAAATATGAAAAAATCCCTCTTTATTCATATGATATTCATTAATACATGTTATTATGTTTCCTTCCGTTTTCTTTTTTTTATTATCATTATTATTTACAATTGAAATCACTTTCTACAACTACTGAATGATTTATCAAAATACTTTATTTGGCTCTTAGATTTTAGTAATTGTTCACAGTTACATGTACACATTGTAAAAAGCTGTCCTGTAAGTGGGTCTTGTAGGTACCTGTTTGGGCAATAAATAGTTTTTTTTTTTTTTTTTAGCTTGTCTTCTGTTTACATGCAGTTCAAATGTCCTTCCTCGTATTATGAAATATTTATTCTTGCAGAAACTGGATAGGATGCTGGAGTCAAAAGTACTCGAACAAGATTACCTAGATATCAAAATCTACAAAGTCGATGAGAAACTTCACGCAGCCTACTACCCTGTGAACCATTACAAGCATATATATTACAACGTGATGGACCACGGATGTCCTGTGGAACTGAAAATCAAAAAGAACAAGATCATCGACCCTGCAGCGCTGCCTAGGGAGTTGCTGAATATGTCGCACTACGGAAGGTATCCTCCCGTGGATGAGAGTTTGGGGTTGAAGAAAGAAGTTCAAAAAGTCTGCAAATCAGAGGTCGAACAGAAAGAAGTGAACGATGTAGAACAAAACCAGTTTTCAATGCGAAGAAAATGTAACTGATAGCTGATGAAAACATGTAATATACAAAATCACGTATACCTATTATCGTCAGCATAATTTTTGGTGAATACTGGAGAACCACTCAGTGACCATGCAGATATTTTTATTTATCTATTCAATACAACTTTGGGATACAAACAGCTTCAAAACGCAGAAAATTATCCGCTGATACAATATTTTGCATGACAGCTCGTTGACATCTTATAGTAGTAATCTTCTTTCGATCTGAACTAACTGAAATATTTCACTAGAAATGAATCGAATCGTTCTTTCGAATGACGTTCATATTATGTACAGTGTTGCCAAGTTTCCAATATGTACATGACACTTTGTTATGGAGAATAAGAAATATCATTTATTTAATTTTCGAACACGATCTGGTGTGAAATCTCCGTACCGAATATACCACACGTGGTTAAATTATTTTCCGGAAGTTTTTTAACCTCTAGTGGTACCTATTACAATTGAGAATTTTTCAAAAAAAATGTGCGTTATTGAACGCCCGGTCCGACAACATTGCAAAAGTCATATTGATACTTCCAGTGCTTGTGATCTCGCCAGAAGCAAACGGTTGGGTTGGGCTGTTGACCTCTGATCAATGATTAAAAAAAGTTGAAGGCAAACTTTGAAGCTCAATACCTTCCAAAATATATATTTTTTTGTCTTCTATCGTGCTGCCCCAATTTCGGAAACACCTTCATATCAACCATCGACGACATCAATTATTGTTGATGAATCGCAGGGAACCATTTTTCGAGGACTTTACGACTGGCGCTAATAAGATATCAAATATCAGACATAAATAATAAAAATGATCTCATTATAAAACTCGAACTGAGGATCACACGTGAGGAGACACCCACATGACCCACACAGACAGCGGAGAGAATGAAATCCCAGAGACCGACAAAGTTGGGATTGTTCATTAGGGCACCGGTTGCGGGAGTCAAAGGCTGAAATTCGGGAGATGGGTGGGCCGATTCGTATCGCCGAAAAGCCGTATCGACATTTGTCAAACGACTTGGAAACTAGGTAATCATACTTTGGCGTATCAGTTGTAGGAAGAACTGTACGCCTTTTTGAATAGTCTTTTTGTGACTATATTCGATAGTTATGGCAATGCCGAACACTATAGTTGTTGAATCGTATATTGTAGAAAGGATGAAGATTCGAAGTGCTGTTTATACGAATCTGTTCACTCTGATGGTTCCAGCATACCTTTGCTGATGAATTGTTTTGTTGCTCAGTGTTGCCAACCTTTGGATTCACGATAATGGAAAAGTTTATGCAAAGTCAGTTGGAAAGACACATCACCGCAAACCGCAAGCCGTCGGTCCCTTCGAAAGTTCAAAGAGTGCGGCAGCGCGGCCCGACATTCGTTTGATAATCTGTTCAACTGACTTTGCAACTATACCAACACCAACAGCTTCAAATTATGGTACGATAACTGAAATTATGGTACGCGCAAGCGTGCAGCCATAATTTGGCTATAGGTCGAGTGCACGATGACCGAACCTGATGGAGGTAAAACATTGAAACACAATCTCACTTCTCTGCAAAACATTGAAACACAACCTCACTTCTCTCATTTGTTTACAAAGGAATGCGGAAGAAACGTTTTTCACAATATTTTGGTATACGAATCGTGTTTTTTGAGCTATTCATTAGTTGAAGCATGCCATCACATTGTGCTGTTGTACAATGCACAAAAAATGCAGCGAGAGACGAAGGAAAATGATTTTTCCTACGACCGCACCTATGAAAACAGCATGAAACACACCACTTCGTTATTAAGAAAGTAGCTCATGTCACCATTGGATGATATAGCCTCTTGATCAGTTCCTCCATCAGAATGGCCCATATAGTAGGGGCGATAATACTCCTTCTTGTGGGCATCCTCTATTATCTGCTCTAGCTGTCATTGTTGTCTCGCCAATTGTTGATATGATACTATTTTTCCACTGGCACAGGAGTAGTGGTACTCCTTTCCCAGCTAGGGTGTTGATTATAGAATCTGTGGATGCGTTATTGAAAGCATCATCTATGTCTACGAATGTTTTTATATATAGCTATTTCTTTGTCCTCTATCTATTTTGTGAGTAGTCTGCTCAAACCATCAGGTGCTAAGTCAGTTGACTTGCCTGGCTGATACGCATATTGGTGTTCGTTAAGAGGGTTTGATTGTAATAACTTCGTAGGCGGTAATTATTGCCTTGCTTACTTGGTCTACTGACCTATCAGAACTGTAGCTGTCCCTGGGGTAACTTGGCTATGCAAACCATTGAAAAATTAAAAAAAAAATCATTTCATTGAAATTCCCAGAGGATACCAAGTTACCCCGAACCCGGGGTAACCTGGACACTCCACGTATTATTTTTTGTACAAATCTGGAACAAAAATTTGACTTCTTACCAACTTTAACTCTGTCATTATGTTGATGTCTGATTGTATACAAAAAAGATATTTTGGAAAAAGCCTGAAAAAGGTGACCAAGATTCACGGTATTTTTCCATTGAAAGTATATAATGTTGTTACCTTATGAATCATATACAAATTGTCGAAACGTTATACAGGGTGATTCATAATATATATGGGTTGATGGTCGAATTCTGACATCAAATTTGATCAGTTGAATATTGAACAATTCATATGGTGGTATACTGAGTATAGCTCATTCATTCGGTAACAAGTTATCTATCTATTTATCTATATAAATTAGTGAAATATTATGCACACACACATTTTCTGTGATGTGTAGAAATTTAGAGAGTTTTCAGTCAGTCTCCAGAACTTTACTTTATTTTCATTGAAAATCCAATTATTCATTGAGACTTTTCAAAGTCTTTCACGATTCTATCTCTAGCTAGACGTACGTATACCTGAAGGTGGTGATATTTTCATGTTTTATTTCCTTGCTAGTTGAAATAATGGCCTGTCACCTCTCACTACCCAGGTAGCACATGACGACTATATGACGTCTAATTGACGGCATCACATTCGGCCAAAAGACGTCTTCATTTTAACAAATGCGACGTCCAAATGACGTAAGTAAGACACATCCAAATGACGTCATATTTGAAAGTCTTTTAGACGTCAGTATTTGTTTTCAAATTGGACCTTAAACTGACACTACTGACCAATTTCCGACGTCAATAAGACGTCTGTTTTTTCTTTATAAAATTTTGGGGTTAATGGTTATAATCTGGTGAGGAATGTTATCATTTGTGCTATAAAATAAATTTGCTACGAATGAAGATTTTATTAACAAGATAGTAATGTAAGGTATTACATATAGTTGAAAATTTCAGCGTCGATGGCTGCCCCTTCACAGAGAGCTCTTTTGTATGTTTTGTGTATAATTAAATGGCGGCCAAAACACTTCAGTTTTCAAGAGCGTCAGCCAAGTTTCGTGAACAACAGCTACACTGTTGCTTTCACAGTCATCACACACACAATACATCCTGAATACTTTCACGTGAAAAACAGACTGTATAGAAATACCACTCAAACACTCAACATTTTAACATTCTTAACAAATCCAATGGCACAGACGCCGTTCACAAACAACGCCCATTCGGACATGAACGATGGACAATGAACATGGACGGGAACGCACCATGCACGATGCATCACGATGCAAGCTTGACGCTGAACCACAGACCGGACCGCTGAACGGCACTAACGCCACTAACGGCAGTCGCGAGATGGTCGCGAGTCGCATACACAATCTCTTCACGTAATTACTTGATCGCCATTGGCCATCTGGTCGGTAATGTGAGAATTGTCTTTGGCGCTAAATTCAAACATTGAAAATAAAGGGAAGCCTATGGAATAAAATACATTTTTATTATACATGTATACAGTTATTCGGATAGATTAATTGATTTATTTCATAAATTCGTTTTCCTATACATACATAATAATAACTTGGTCCCAGTGATTATTCATCTCACAGGCTGTGAGGAGTAGTCACTGGATTTTATCCAGCACGACTCTGCGTAACGTCGGAGGCCGCAGGGTCGTGACTGGAATCATATGAACTCAAAGTATAATAATAATAATGATAATAATAGTAATAATAATAATGATAATGATAGTGATAATGATAATAATACCCAAAAAAATATGAAGACCATAGATTGACGTCTATACGACGTCAAACAATGGCTGTCCATTAGACGTCACATTAATGACGTCCGAATGACGTCATAATTTGGTCAAAAGACGTATGAGACCTAAAAAGACCTTAGATAGCGGTCCTATAGACGTCACATTCGTCAGTCTGGCTACCTGGGTATTGGACTATTGCAAAAGTAGACTCGTCGACATATCTTTTATTTTATTGTACTGTTGAAATGAAAATGTCACTAGATTCTAATATATGAACGGCAAGTGTGTTAATATTGGTCCTCGACTATAGGTCGTACGGGTACGGGCATTATAATGACAGGATGTTCGGATGTTCCTCACCCGGCCTGCTGTGATCAATCTCTGGACGAAATTCAGCTGTCGTTGTCCATAAAAATGAGTGTTCCGAAAAATCTCCATACCTTTGTGATGTTTGTGAATCGGTAAAAGTATTTTCGTGTTACTCTCCATGTCGAACAACGAAATGACATCGGAACAAATTGGTATACGGAAAACGAAATAAATGTAATGATACACTTTTTGATAACAATTTTTCAATGGGGTTGTACATAGTCGACATTACTAACTTACGCCATATTATTATATCTAATTTATTTTGAACATTGCATGTATTTTAATGTATTTGTTAGGGTCACTTATTGATTGAAACCAACAAAAATATTTTTTTCAATAATCATGCATAATAATCATCACTTGAAAACGCTATAGAGCTCTTATAATGACGTGACATACCTATTAGTTTTTTATTGCACAACAACGAATGAAAATATTTCTACATTCTACATAAAAATAAGAATTCACCTCCATATTAGGAGAACAGTGTATTGAAATATGCAAAACACATAAAGTCATTTCAGAAATTATTCAAAACATATACAGAGCTCTGAGGAGAAAACGGTAGGCGACAGTGAACAAAAGTTTGGGTTAGTATATACAGGCTGATTCATGGTGGGTAGCACATTAGACGTTTCTGGAGAACGCAACTCAGGATTATTCTGAAAAGTTGGTGCCTTGAATAATTAGATGTGTATTAAGTGTTGCGACGTTGCCGCTTATATTGAAAAGTAGCAACAACTTTAATTTTCTAAATGGGACACTCTGTATATAATTCAATTTATAGATTCTCCCTGAAGAGCTGATTTCATCGATCTATCACACTTGGGGTCGAGCGGAAATGATAACACCGTGAATCAGCCTGTATACTTATTCAGAATGATGAAATCAAATTTTTCACTGAAACATACCCATTG